CCAACTAAAGGCCATCCGTATATTGTGGCAGGAATGTCATTTTATTACCCGAATCAATTCAGCAGGGCTCCGACGTGACAGCAGAGGGATGTGGCCTTCGTTGGACGGGGGTTATCTGACGTGTGCAGGCAGGGAAATACACAGCTTTCGTAATGAACTCAACACTTACTAATAAAGTCTTTATTGCCGGGCCACGTATGAACTGATACCAGAGTCGGCTCTGTACGTCCGCGTGCTCGTAACCTAATGAAAATGGGCTTTTGCTCACAAACGTTTTTTTTTTTTTCTGCAAGGGAGGGAAGGCAGACGCAATTAAGTGATTTAATAACAAACGCCTCGACGCAACAAATCATCAACCGAGAAACAACTTAAAAATGTTTTTATTAATCAAGACCTTAGAGGCAAAAACCCATTTATGGTGACCTTTAAAATGCAATGAGTGAGAAAAATGTAGTGACAGATAACCACCCGGCAAGCTCAAGACCATCTCACATCCCACCCATGCGTTGGTCCCCATGTATAAGAGTTTGGGGTCTACGGAGGTCTTTTCATGGGCAGAGCCTGTCAAAGGGCCCTGTGTTTTAATCGAGAGGCTGAAAAAGAAGATGGCTCCACATCTAGAAGTCAAGGCTGGAAGGGATAACAAATCGACTCTTCAGTTCCACACTTCTAAACTGCTGCTTCTTCATTCAACCGCAGCGAAACCAAAGCATCGCTCCCCTTTAATGTCGACCTCCACAATCTTGCCAAGGAGGAGAATTATAGAAGAAGCTGGCTGCATTTTAAGATGGCATTTAAAAAAAAAAAAAAAAAAAAACATCCGGACCAACCGCAGGTAAAGAGGTTCACAGCGTGGCAGATTACAGAACTTAAGTACTTCAATACACTGCTCATTTCTGGAGTGCTCTTTGATTCCCATAATGGAAACCATTATATTTCAAATGGCAGTAACAGCTAGAAGACATTTACCCTTCACCTGACTTTTAGTTTCAAGGGTCAGATGCGTCTACATTTACAGTATGACGATTGTTCAGCCAAATATATAATGATTTTCAAATGTCTATGTAACAACCTACTTGAATGTCCACTCTATGATTCTAAAATAATCTATATAAATATACACAATGAAATGATTTAACTCATAGTTCATCTGGTAAAGTATAGCGCAAACAATGCCAAGGTCATAGGTTATACTTAGGAAACGCATACTGAATTATCTAGGAAATATGAGGATAAAAGCATTTTCCAGATACTAAAATTGTAAATGTTTTAAGGAGCGAAGAGCTAAAAATCTTTCACGCAAAGTTTCAAATCAAATTAGAACATTTTTCATAATTCCACAACAATTTATGAACTGTATAATAATAAAAAAATTATATATGGTTTATACACACACAATTAATATAGGCTACATTTATGTGAGTACATTAGCTCATCACCGTTAAGACACTTCCATTAAACAGTGACAACAAAAAAGTTTATGCTTTATGATAGGATCCAAACCATATAATAAAAGGTCATAGGAGAAAAAAAAAAAAAAAAAAAAAAAAAGATAGGAATTGGCGTTTGTGGTGTTAAGTAGCCTACGAACCAAAAAAAGAAAAGTAAAGGTAAGAGGACGGAGAGTGTTCCCGTTTCGCGTTCCAGAGGACAACAAAAACCCCGCAGTGAGGGTGAGATAAGACAGCAGGTCCTACTAAAACCAAGCACAGCATGTGTGTGTCGAAGAGAGAGAGAGAGAAGAGAGAAGAGAGAGAGAGAGAGAGAGAGAGAGAGAGAGAGAGAGAGAGAGAGAGAGAGAGAGAGAGAGAGAGAAGAGAGAGAGAGAGAGAGAGAGAGAGAGAGAGAAGAGAAGAGAGAGAGAGAGAGAGAGAGAAAGAGAGGTATGTGGCCCGGTGTGTGTGTGTGTGTGTGTGTCTGTGATTAAACAGGATTGTGTCTGGTCTCTGCGAGTCCCCGGGGAACGGTTGGTCTCACGGCAGGCTGTCACTGAACACATTCTAAAGGCAAAGACTTGTTTAATCCCTGTGGCCCTGGTGCACCTCCCACTGTCTAAAGCTCTTTCTCTGTCTCCACTCACCTTCCATCGCTTTTGTTCTGAACTGCACAGCTCTCATTCTATAGCAGCGGGTTACAGATCTGCAGCTTTTCTTCAACGCCTTTGACTTATAATAGCCCTATTTACAGGAGATACACAGCACACACAATGGAGGTCTGCTGCCAGAACATAATTCTTTATCAGTCGATTTTATGAGCGAGACATTAAGCACTTTTACATGTAGTTGAAACAAAGGGCTGCTGAGAGTAAACGGAAGCTTTTTTTTTATCTCATTTTATCAACAATCTTTTAAACAGATGGAATAAATATCTGTGAACATTATAAACCATATTTTAGCAAACATATTGAAATTTCTAAGTATCTTCACATTATCATATTTTTTGCACATTTACCATGGTAATACTGTTTTTTTTTTATGGTATCGCGATAACCGTGTTTTTTGTACATTTACTAAAGTAAAACTATGTTTTTTGTACCTCAGCTATTGTAATGCCATGTTTTTGTACATTGCATTATATTATGTTTTTGTACATTTACCACAGTAAAACCATGTTTTTCCACATGGTATTGTAGCAAATAACATTTACTTCGGTAACACCTTGTTTTTGCATGTTACCGCAGAAACGTTTTTTGTACATTTACCTATAATTTTTGTACATTTACAATGGTAATACTATATTTTGGAAATTTACAATAGTAATAATGTGTTTTTCGACATAACATCATGGTCATTTGTGACATAACACAAGCACAGTTATTTATATAAAAACCCAGAGGGAAAAAAACAAAACAAAACAAGTAAAAATAGGAAAAAATATGGCAATTGCTGTATTGTCATAAAGTCAGAGTATTACACTGAATTATCCAATTAATATTGATAGCTCACATAAAACTGGTCTTAGAAGAATTCAAGATTATATTGAGATCTCGGAGGGGTTCCATCATTATATCAAAGCCAAGATGGTTGCAAACTGGACCATGTTAACATCATAACTGTTATTACCATAGAATCTCCAGACTAAGATTGTGTGCATATACAGTACACATACCAGCATCTGCATTTGTCATTCAATCATCATGTTCTCTGCTTAAAGGGATACTCCACTTTTTTTTTGGAAATAGGCTCATATTTATAAACATATTTAGATATACAGGAAATCACAATGGACGACGATTTCAATATCTAAATATGTTTAGATCTTCACAGTGAAAAGTAAAACTTCCAAAATCTCTGTGTAAACAATGAGTGACGTGCACGTGCAAGCGATTACTTCCGGCGGAACGTTGGACATGGTTCAGTTGGACATTGGACAACTGATTCAGATCAGTTGGACATGGCTGTGGTTACACGAGGTAAAAACGATATAAATACTGTTAGTTTTCTCACACAAACCGCTCGTTTCGTGTCTTAGGCCATCAATGTGTACTTACATTTACGAGTCACTAAATAATGTTTAATTTTGACTTGTCTGTGCATGCTCTTTGACGTGGACCCCCTATACCTGCATTATATGACAACAACAACGGTTTGACCGAAAAATGTCAAAATTGAAAATAATGTGGAAACAAAGACACCTACATCTTGGATGCCCTTGAGGTAAGCTAAAACATATCAAAAATTAATTTAAAAGTGAACTATCCCTTTAAACCTTTTAATTTTATTCCTGAGCAATAATTCCATGTTACTAATTCCGCCATGTAGTCAGACCAGCAGTATTTTTCATCTTTTACTTTCTCTTCAGCAAACATCAATTAACCCCCATTTTCCATGCCGCTAGAGTCTGGCTAGCAGAACTGTCCATTTAAAGATAAATTGAAAAGCTGATGCATTTATTAACTTAATTGGGTTTCCAAGAAGACACATAATGCCGTTGATTGCACTGTAATTCAATGAGAAATAGAAATTAAATGTTTGGGAGAACGTGAAAGCACTCACTAATTTCCAAAAAATACCACAAAACAATAACCGCAGGCTAAGTCAACAGCACGGATCAACTGTGGCTTTTAGGAAAGGGATTAGGAGCAGCCGCTGACGTGTGCAGGGAAGGAAGGAAGGCATATAGGTTTTAAAACAGCGGCTGACTTTCACCACTGGTGCTATCGGGACACTTCTGCATCTTCAAACCACATCTGCTTAGCATTTTTCTGTAATTAACAAAGCCAGGGAGCCGATAAGCCCGGTTAGAGTATTTAAAGAATCTGTGGTAAAGATTTGTATTTATTTATTTATGTAATAAATCATGTTAGGAAATGTTCCCGAAAGAGCTGGGATGATACTTGAGCGATGAACAATGTGGACTAAATGAATAATGAATAAGGACGGACTTCCCCTACTTTCAAAGCCAGTCAGGTTTTGTACAAAAAAATGTGTTATGGGTCTAAAGAAATGAATAATTCCACAAACACTGCAGTAAATCATTATAACAATTAAGGAACTGAAATTATATTATGATTAGAAGTATTAGATTTAAATTATAAAATTAAGTAAAAAGGTCATTTATTTTACAGTGTTCTTGTTACAAATTTTACATGTACTTACTATAGTAATAGTAAATTGTGCACAATCACAAGAAACTAACCCTAAAACAAACTCGGTAGCACTTCATTTTACAGTATGTGCACTTACAGTGTTCTTACCTAAGAAAGATCTGGTTAATATAAGGTAATTACATAAGGTTAAGGTTAGGTTCAGGGTTAGTTATTACCCAGTTGTTGTAATACCTACTGTATAATAAGTACATAGTACTATGTATATGGGGAATATGACTGCAAAATAAAGTGCTACCTTTTTTTTACAGTTCTGTTCTCCATGTACATAAGCTGTCTAGGCAGTCGGCTGACTAGATTATAGATGGCAATTGGTGGAAAAATAAAATAAAATGGAGAAACAACAAACTATTACGACTGAAGTGGGTATAGGGAGAATTCTGTTGACTCTCACCTTTGATGAGGAGGTGTCACATTCCTGACAGATCCATCCGTAGCCGGTTTGTTTGGGCGACTTCTTCAGGGGAGGGTCCAGACAGCCGAAGTGGTAACAGAGCTGACACTCATCACACCTATGAGGAAAACAGTCAGCACATTAGCAGCGAGAATATATTAAAATGCAGCTGCGGTGCCACACACACAGACTGCTTATACCCTGCCAAGAGGGCAGTATGGCCCTAACCAGGCAGCTATGATAGATGGTGACAGAGCCATTTGCTGTCAGGTAACAGATGCTTAATAGATTCAAAACACATTGGCACACAACCTCTCACACGGCCTTGTACAGCCATCATAAAACACGCTGTTTGATTGGTCCTGCTGAAATGAGTTTCAGCTCATCGTGTCGATAAATCTCTATGGGATTTTTATTCCAGAGTCAAGGTGTCAAGAAAGACACTGAGATTCTGTCCTTAGTTATAGGTCTCCCCAACCACCAGCTATCCGATTTTACATAAACCGTAAAAGACCTCCATTTTGGGTCGATTATTATGCTGTTCTGTAACTGCTGAAAATGCTGAATATCGTTACTGAAAACAAAATGCAACATCATCAGAAGCATTCAGGGACACTTCACATTAGTTTTAAAATATAGAAGTATATAAAAAACAGCAATTAATTAAATTAAATTAACTGCAAATAATCATATATAATGAGTATTTTTTAAATATCTTAAAAGGTTGACTTGTAAAATTCACAATAGGATCAGTGAATTATTATTTTTTTTATTATTTAAGAAATGAATAGTTTTATTCAGCAAGGCCACATTTAATTGATCAAGTATGACAGTAAAGACATTTACAATGTTACACAAATTTCAATTTAAAATTCATGATGTTGTTTTGTACGGAGCCCCCCCTAGTCCCACTTTGGCAAAAAAAAATAAATAAATAAATAAAAAAAAAAAATATTATAACTATCTTGTGGCCTCAAGAGAGTATCTCGCCTTGGGGCCATGAGTTACTATCTTAAGGCCACGAGTTCATCTTTAGGTCACGAGTTACTATTTTGAGGCCACAAGTTAGTTCCTATCTTGAGGCCATGAGTTAGTTCCTATCTTGAGGCCACGAGTTACTATCTTGAGGCCACAAGTTAGTTCCTATCTTGAGGTCACGATTTACTATCTTGAGGCCACGAGTTAGTTCCTATCTTGAGGCCACAAGTTAGTTCCCATCTTGAGGCCACAAGTTAGTTCCTATCTTGAGGCCACAAGTTAGTTCCTATCTTTAGGCCACGAGTTAGTTCCTATCTTGAGGCCATGAGTTACTATTTTGAGGCCACAAGTTAGTTCCTATCTTTAGGCCACTAGTTACTATTTTGAGGCCACGAGTTAGTTCCTATCTTGAGGCCATGAGTTAGTTCCCATCTTGAGGCCACGAGTTAGTTCCTATCTTGAGGCCACAAGTTAGTTCCCATCTTGAGGCCACAAGTTAGTTCCTATCTTGAGGCCACAAGTTAGTTCCTATCTTTAGGCCACGAGTTAGTTCCTATCTTTAGGCCACGAGTTAGTTCCTATCTTGAGGCCATGAGTTACTATTTTGAGGCCACGAGTTAGTTCCTATCTTGAGGCCATGAGTTAGTTCCTATCTTGAGGCCACGAGTTCCTATCTTGAGGCCACAAGTTACTATCTTAAGGCCACGAGTTAGTTCCTATCTTTAGGCCACGAGTTAGTTCCTATCTTGAGGCCACGAGTTAGTTCCTATCTTGAGGCCATGAGTTAGTTCCTATCTTGAGGCCACGGGTTACTATTTTGAGGCCACGAGTTAGTTCCTATCTTTAGGCCACGAGTTAGTTCCTATGTTTAGGCCACGAGTTATCTTGAGGCCACGAGTTCCTATCTTGAGGTCACAAGTTAGTTCCGATCTTTAGGCCATGAGTTACTATTTTGAGGCCACGAGTTACTATCTTGAGGCCATGAGTTAGTTCCTATCTTGAGGCCACGAGTTACTATCTTGAGGCCACGAGTTAGTTCCTATCTTTAGGCCACGAGGTAGTTACTATCTTGAGGCCACGAGTTAGTTCCTATCTTGAGGCCATGAGTTAGTTCCTATCTTGAGGCCACGGGTTACTATTTTGAGGCCACGAGTTAGTTCCTATCTTTAGGCCATGAGTTAGTTCCTATGTTTAGGCCACAAGTTACTATCTTGAGGCCACAAGTTAGTTCCTATCTTGAGGCCATGAGTTAGTTCTTATCTTGAGGCCACGAGTTACTATCTTGAGGCCATGAGTTAGTTCCTATCTTGAGGCCACGAGTTACTATCTTGAGGCCACGAGTTAGTTCCTATCTTGAGGCCACGAGTTAGTTCCTATCTTGAGGCCACGAGTTCCTATCTTGAGGCCACGAATTTGGTCCTATCTTTAGGCCATAAGTTAGTTCCTATCTTGAGGACACGAGTTACTATCTTGAGGCCACGAGTTACTATAGTCGCTTTCCGACTGGAGGGACTTTTGCAGTTCCTAGAACCTAACGTTCCTATAACCCTTTTTTTCTCGTGTTCCGACCGGACTAAATTGGGGATTTTTTAGTTCCTCAGGCCGTAGTTCCTATAACTCTTTCAGTGCCTAGTCTAGAGCGAGGACTTTTTTAGTTCCCTATAACTAAGTTCCTGTAACTACTTGGTCGGAAAGCGGCTATTCTTGAGGCCACGAGTTGGTTACTATCGTGAGGCCACGAGTTAGTTCCTATCTTGAGGCCACGAGTTAATTAATATCTTGAGGCCACGAGTTACTATCTTGAGGCCACATGTTTTTGACGAAGTGGGATTAGGGGGGGCTCCGTAGTTTTGTACTTTTTATTCATCGGCAAATTACTTTTTATAATCCATTGAAATAAATTAACAATGACAGCTATAAAACAAACAAACAAAAAACTAATAAAACTATATTTAATATATCTATATTTATTAAACATTGTAAGAAAAAGTGCATGAAGTTCAGTTCTCATTTAACATTCATAAGGTGCATCTGCTGAAGCCCCACATGCCCTTCACCCTGCAGTCCATGCTCTCCTCTCCTTCCTGTCCATAATTAACTAATTATGTTGTAATCAATATAGTAGATTCTGATTTGGCAATGTAAATCAGATAAAGCCGATAAGAGCCGGGGAGGTCAATAGGCCCAATCCCCATCCTCGTCTCCATTACGAAACAGGGGGCACGGCGGTCTTATCAGCGAGCCCACAGGATGAGGCGATAGAAAAAGACAGGGACAGACGCTATATTTTGTCTGCTAGGTGAACGAGCGGGAACACTGAGACTTTAGCAGAGGCAGGGTTGTTCTTGGTGTCACCGAACCCGATGCTGTGTGACGTGGAAGCCCTTTCAAACTCAGGCCCATCACAGACTTCAAATGCTAATTAAAGGCCTGGACGGTGATGCGGCTCAGTGCTAATGAGCAGAGAGTCTCCCACCGAAGACACATGTACACCTTCTGTCAACACCCAGCGGCTAGAATGGCTAACCTGATCACATTAATGTAGATTTCTGGTCATTAGTACTGTGTCTCATTGAAAGAGTGCAAAAAGGTCAAACGCACAACTGATTTCTGCTTTATTAGCCACATTTATTAAAGAAATATGATGACAGAAACACCAAAAACTAGCACACATTAATGCTCCACACGTTTGCACACCATTAAGAGTTTGATTGAAGATCAAAAAGCTAACAATGACGCCTGCTGCTCATATCCACAGAGTCAAACATTTCACATTTCACACCGCTTCTCATCAAGCAACCAAATAAACTTCTCGAGTCCTAAGGGAGCACTTCAAGGTGCCTTTGCAAAAGGGAATGAGCCAACTCTCACCTGTGGTTACCATGCCAACCCGCTATTTCCCCTGACAGAGTAACAGGGCAGTCAAAGACAAACGCATTTAGGGTATTTATATAGGCCACGTTTACACAGCAGCAGAATACAGTTGTCAACCCTGAGTCCTTAATGCGGTTACGTTACCGGACAGTTTAGCATTTTACGAGAGTGATAACTGCATTCTATAATCGAATTCACACCCATACATTTTCAGAACTCATTTTTTGAAAACTCGCACTGTGTAATCGGAACTGGACTGGACCACTTGTTGTCTGTCACATCAGCGCGAGAGATCCGCTCTGAGTGTCTACTGCGTGTCGGTTAATGAAGATTTGTAGAATAAACTTGCAGCTTGACTGGCCTCGTCATTTCAAAAATGATAAGACTTCCAGTTTTTCAGACATCACCATCTTTGGAATAACTTTGGTCACTGTAGTTATTCTAACTGGTAAGTACGGGGCCACTAAAGGGACAAGGCGGCGGTCAAAAAAAAAATGAAAGTGAGATTGGTATGATTGGTATGGATTGGCCATTGAGATGGTACATCGACTTACAATAGGTTGAATGACAGCTATGCCATAGCCTGACAGTGTCTGTATCGCTTTTACTGGGACTCTGTAACTCTTTTTTTTTTTTTACCTCTGTATTTTTTCATGGCTGAAGCAGAAAGTAAAACCAAATGTGAAGTGCATCAGAAACAGAAAGCGAGGGTCGATCAGTTTACAGTTGGTAATGTGTAATGCTCGCCGCATCCAGTGTAGACTGCATTGCTTTTTTTTTGAGGGCGCTTAACACACTCAAGCGTCCTCGTAGAGCCGGGGCGGGCAGCTCGCGCCAGCTCGAGATGTGAAAGTATACTGATTACTGAGTTTGGTAGGGGCTACATTCTTGCAAGTAAATAATACATGATTAGACGGACAAAATAATCGGTCAGGATAACTATCCAATGTCTGCAGGCTGATAGTCATATTTGTTATTTATTTTTCTGGTGAAAGTGTCTTGCCTCAGGCTATAATGCAAATCGATTTTTCAAATTTGCAGATTCATCTATGGTAGCTTGATATTATAATATTGACGACATGGTTATTATCTAACAAAAAACATTGAATTGAATAAACATATCCATTATGCAAAACAGTAGCCAACAGGCTATAAAGACGTTGGCTTGTAAAGGTGAGCTACGCGATCTTTTGTTTTTTGAAAAAAATAAATAAATAAAGCCCATGACTCTATATTCATGCTGAAATATATGCCAATGTACC